GTGGGAGGTCGTACGGACTCGACAAAGATCCCCAACCAATGATGTGCCCTGGAAGGGGTCGTACTGTGCAAAAGTTCCCCCAACGGGCAGGACGTGCAGGGTTATGTTGTTACTTTGTGAGACTTGGAACAACTGTTCATTCAGGGATCGCATACAATGGACTAGCTAATAATGCCCATCATCGATTTGAATAGAGAGATCCTTGGCGAGGACAATGAACGGGCAAGAGACCTGTTTGAGGACTCTCACGCCATTCAATCCGGAAATTTCACACGGTCGTTAAACAATCAAAGAAGTGCCGTTGGAACTCACCTTGTGGCGAATCGGATGCTGTTGACGGACGTTTGGCAAATACTGCATCAGCATTGGACAGTCGAACTGATGTGGGTCTTGCGAGGAACTCCCACGGAGTATCGTAATGATCTTCTTCCATCAGTCAAGGTTCATCGTCTGCAATTGTCGCATCTAATATGTGAAGGATCAACGGGGTGAAGGGTACTGCAAATGAATTATGCATAGATGGTTGACTAAACGAATGAGCGACGCATCAGTGACAATTCAATTGCTCTCTGGAACGTCACGAGAATAATTATGCAATCATAGGGTCACATTTTTAGAAGGGGCAGGGTCGCAGGATTATTGAAACCCTGGAAATAGCACGGGAACCAGAACAAATAATTGACAAATGTGTACTGGTGACTAGTGCAAATAGTGCGGAGACAAAGCGGAAATGCGAACCGCCCCGACCGCACAGGCGGATCGATGGACGAGAGAGGTGAATCGAATTCAAAGCCCATTAGTAGCTCGAAATCAGCCCCAGGCCCACCCCCCGCCGATGGCTCACGTTTCAAATTTGCTTGGTCTCATGAATTGGATGAAATTGGAGCCCCGCTGAAGCCTCCCACTCCCCTAGAAGAGCGTAAGCAGAGGTCAGCTGGTGCCATCCGTTGTTTTGAGCGGTGTAAGCGCGCTACGAAAGAAAGTTCAACTAAAACTTTTTTCATCTGAACGACATTACGCGATGAGATGAGTGTAATGGATTGATTGAACTAGAACGAATGAAGCTGCAGCTGAATCGGAATGGACACATGTATGAAGGCTGGAAAAACAAGGCCAGAGGTAGCACCTGGTGCCAGCGAGGTGTCATCGGGAAGGGTCATATTTCGTCTGCGGTTTCCAATTCCTGCAGTAATTTTAGCTCAGGGCTCACTTACTGAGACGCATGGCAAGACAATGGATAAATGGAGAGAAAATCTCGGTTAGTACAGAACTTTTTTCTTGTTGAGTATACGCTTTTGCGTTGAGCACCGAATAAGTAAATAAACAAGTAAAGAAATTGCAAGTCTTCTCGAAAACTGGGTAAAAAAGCAGAAAGGTGGAAGCTGTTTCGCTTGGAGGGGGCATTTTGCTTTTGGCTAATTTCTTTTGTCATCAGTTATCGATCACTAACGCCACCTTAGTTACCAGAATCCACAAGCCTTCACGTCAATGAACGGTCTGTCTTGGGGGAATCTAGCCTTTACAACCTTAGCTCGTCGAGTGAACGTTCTATCTTGGGGGACATCTAAACTTTACAACCTTAGCTGAACACCACCTGGTGCCCAAACCAAGCCGAGCGGTTTACCTAGAAGTGGCCAAGACCGAAGAGAGATGTCGAGAAAGGTGTTGCACAAGTAATAAAAGTAACTATGTTAGAAAAAGGAAGTAGTTTAAAGAATAAGTATTTACTACGGCTTGGTGGGGGCACCAAATGGTACTTAGCAAAGCCTGAACAGGTTACTTTGTGAAGACCTGTAAACTCCAGTAACTAATGTGGCCCACTTATACCACTTAACAGCTTCGCAAGTGCCTATAGTTCTCACCAAAGTGAGACCTATTAGTCAACATGAACTAGTATGGAGGATCAGCGAAAGTGCAAAATGTCTCCCCCCTGAGCCGGACAGCGCCGAACAAACTATGTATAACTCGTCCCGCTACTACCGAGGACACTTCATACTGTTTATTAAGCTTTTTATTTTTGTAAGACCGAATGGCGAGTGCCCAATAGCGCCTCCAGCACTAGTTGGACAAAGAGATCGGACCCACGCCACGGGCCTTGAACCCCTTTCATGGGGTCAGTAAATTTACAGTAAGCTTTTCTCGAGGGAACGTTGCTTCAAACATCGCATCGAATCTATTCTGTTGCCCGAATGAGCATTTAAAGGTGCATTCAATTTTGAAAAGAAGTTGGGAGCTGTGACACGCCTAGGGCGCATTTAGTAGAGTCGCCATCACTGCCGATGCCACCTGTGGAAACATGTAAACTTCTGTTAAGCTGCTGCAATAGCATGATTGCCATTTTATCACCTTTAGCTGAGTCCACACGCCCTACCCAAGGTAGGACGTGTATTAGACAGGATTAGTAACGGAATGCACGAACCCCGGCTAATATGCCCTCCTCCTTCCTAGGCCGAAAGACCGCCAGAGTGCTGAGTTGATCATTTTTATATCCTTTTCTGAAATGAACCTGGTATAAACAAGAGACTAAAAGTGTAGGTTTTTCGTTTGTGAAAGACACGAGATCGATCCTTTCCAGCGGCACAAATCATGCCTTGCAAAAATAGAGCCGTCAAGCTATGTTGGCAGGTCAGCTACTAAAGAATGCAGTCGCAAGAAAAATGGGCGCTGTCTTGGCATGGAGGGTCCACTTGCACTTTCGCTGGTTTCTTCTGTCAGTTCATGTGACCTAAAAGACGCACTTTGGTCGGACCTGTACGCCGCTCTCAAAATGCGAAATTATTCGAATAAGCCTTTTTGGTCTTTCGCAGGTTTCACAATGTGACCTGCATAAGCTAGCTGATGACTACTTGGTGCCCCCACCAAGCCTAAGTGCGCCAAAAATGGTCAAAATTAAAGGCGCACAACAAGGACAACGGGTCCTACCAACGACGTAGAAATAAGCTGAGAAGAATAAGAAAGTTCTAACCATAATGAGAAGGGTTGAAAACGAAGGGGGTGGCAGTTTCGGTTCCAAAGCGACGTGAGAAGGGTTTGCCCTTCGATCGAGCAAAGGGGATTTTTCAGCTGTGACGAGTATGAATTGCTAGGAATGAACGGAGGATTAGAGCGAAGGAAATAATCCTTTTAGAATTTTGCGAGACGATTCGGGCGTAATTGATGTGAATGTCGTTGCAAACCCCCCATAGAGAACGAGAGCCGATGCATTGCATTATAAACATGACACAGTGCCGTGGCAATAAATCGGCCGAACGAAATGAGGATCGTTTTTCCGTTCGTCGAAGAGCGCTGTTCACGACTTTCTCTCAGAAGGACGTCGGGATGAGAGTGATGTGGGCGGAGCTAAAAATGAAAGGGTACAGGGACAGCATGGATTAATTTTAGCCTGTAAGGATGGTTTGATGAATTGTTTTTTTCCTAAAGATGTCCCGAATTCTCTGCAGAACATTATGTACCCCAAAGATCACGTCGACAAGTGAAACGTCTACCAAAAGGCAATTGAAAGAGGTGATTGATCAGCTGTTCGCCTACTTCCAGGACCTGTTCGCTCTTCGCTGAGCAGCCGCTGAAACACACTCGATGACAGATGGACAGTTCCGACGCGAATGTCCCCCGTGATAGACCGGTCATTGACGTGAAGACAGCGGAAAAAGCAAGCTAGTCGGAAAGCGGTGCTCGAGAAAAGTGCCTGGGGAATTGTGGACTATCATGAGTGCAAGCTGTCAAGCAGGAGAGTTTAAAAAGAGCCAGGCAATCGATTCGTTTGAGGTGGGACGGTTGTCCGGGGAAGGAGATTTATGAATGCAGAAATCCAGATGCGAAATAGAAATGGAAGCGAAGCGTCTGCGAAACGAGAACGAATATTTCATGGTCTTTATGACCGATCAACTTGAATCATTTCCCCATTATGATCCCCCTCCTGGCTAGCTCAAAGCCATAAGGCGCTATAATCTGTACTTGCTGAAAAATAGTACAGGGGGCTATTTTGCTGGAAAATGACGAAAAAGTGAAGCTAAACGTCCAGAAACCTGCGAAAAACCTTTTGTCTGCACGGCACTGGACGAGCATTTTTGGACGAGTTTCCGTTGGCATCGTGCCAGCAATCGCTTTGATAGATATGGCTGCACGTATGTATTCATATGTCCATGTAAAAAGGCTTCCACCCTCGACCACCTTCCCCACGCTATATTCGAGCAGCAGGTTTCAGGGTTTCCCTGAGAGATTCCCATCGGGGGGTCGCACTTGATCGCCGGGGAAGAGGATCGAATTTGCCTTTGAGAAAATTTCAGAGCTACATACGAGGACCACTTGCTGCCGGCGCCGCAGAACTACCATACAGCTCCTATTTCTTATAGATAAAAGTAGTAGTTGGGTAGTATTAAATCCTTTCCCGCCATATCCGCCACCCCTCTCGCCCTGGAGTCCTATGAGGGAAAACCGGTAGAAGTTCTGAGAAACGGGAAAACTTATGGTTAGAAGATGGCATGTGGAATAGGAAAGAAGGGTCGTTTCATGATGGCCAGATGGGGGGGGAAACGTCGTTTCACACACGAACAGCGCGTGTACCCACACTCATACGAGGAATCCTCGACCCAGAGCCCCTTGTTGAACATTTCTTAATGATTTCGAGTTGGAACCTTAGCAAGGGTAGCCGAGCCAAGTGGCTGTGAAAGAAGGATCCCAAAGGTCTCAAGAAGCTCGAAAGAAGAGATGGAAGCAATTCGTTGGGAGGTACCTTTGTGGGTTGGGAGGGGGGTCTGGCTGGAAAGGGGACAAATAGCTTAGCGACACGGAGAAGTGTCACCAACGAAAACATTACATTTCCCAACAGAAGCAGATAACGGCCCCTGCCCAACCAGCCACCAGAAATAGTAACTTCTCAGTCGTTTTGGGAAGGCGAAATGAGAAATCCGCGGCAAATCCTTCTAGTACGGGTAGAAGGAAGAGCAGGGGACCTGACGACGGGCGCAAGATTCCTACCCCTTTAGGCCCAGGAGAAGAAAGAATACTTGCAGCCCAACAGAGGCCATAATTGAGCCCCTGCTTTGAGAGAACTGAAATCCCCTAGGCAAGCCTCAAAGTGAATAAAAATCGCGGGCGGGAGACTAAACGTGTCTGAAGGAGTCATGTGTTCCGACACTTATAATAAGATATTTCGCAGATTTCTATGAGAAATGATTGATGTGCGGCGGAAGTGGGAGCCGCCTGTTGTCAAATGATTAGATATGGCGGGTTTCCTGGAGAGCTTTAGTGGGAATTAGCCTCCCATAGTGCGAATGATGGGCTCTGAAAATGAAAACTGGGTAGAAAGTTATCCCAAGGATGTCTCAGGAAACGGTAAAAACGCTCTTGGGTAGACACAGGGTAATTAAGAGTAGAAGATGATAATTCAAGGTAAAAAGTGGTTGTCATCAGAGAAGTAGCGTCTGGAAGAGG